GCACTCTCATCATGCAGTCAAGTTAAACATGCACATATATATATACTTTCGACTAGCAGTTATCAAATAGCTACTGAGCTTTATGTCTATTCAAAAGTCAAAAGCTTATGATATATATATATATATATATATAGTAATACCTCATGTAACTAATTAATTATAGATGGCGCAGTAGACATTTGGAATGAAGAAAACGAAGAGGGAAATACACTAACAAAGAGCTAGGTTAAAGTGTCAAAAGGCCAATAGGGGGAAAGAACACAAGTACATATTTACTACTCACCTTGATCGAGTTACACTGTAATATATCTGTATATATTTATTTACCTAAACACCTGCTCTGGTACTCAAGGTTTTGTCAAGTACTACGTGAATTGCAGCAAATGTGTTTAGTCCACAGAGCAATTGGGCTCCGAGCATCAAAAGGGACATACATCTCCTCCTCCAAAACAAAGCCATATCTCCTTTCATTGGGCGGAGAAAATTGAAAGTTATGATAAAGTTCATGTGCTTCTCTTATTAATTTATGTTACTGTTAACATCACAAACTGAAAAGTGGTAATGTTGAATGGTGTAATGACTCGTTAAAGCAACAATTTCCCTTTGTTGGGATGATAAACTAATCGCAAATGTCCACAAAATTTCCTTTTCTCTTGGTGTGTGCACCATATGATTTGTTGATGATTGACACCTGGCTAGGCTCCAAGTTGATGTCAGTAAGTTAATACTAAAACACCCTAACCTTCGATTTGGGGTTCCTTAATCCAAGGGTCCCCCATCAGGATTTACGGCAACATCGAATCTTATTGGTCTAACAAATAAAATTCACATGGGTTTTAGCCAATGGGAGACAGTCACCAAACCATAATGATTATTGGTCTTACTTAATCGCTAATTGTAATAGCATATATAGATTATAATGATATTAATAAGTGGTGCGATCTTCTTTACCTACTCAAAATGAAAAGAATAAAAATAAAATTCCCTAGAGATATATCATTTAGTACTATGATCTAGTGATACTCATCTTTACTTGAAAGTGAGAGATTTCAAATTTAAACCTCATAAATGACAATTTTAATAATTTAATATCAATTTAGTTCTTCCACTCCTCAGTTTAAATCTTGTGAGGGATGCTTTGGGTCACTTTGTGGCTGCTAGAGCAGCTCGGTTTGAGAATGTTTTCTCTCCGGTTCATGCGGAGACTCTAGCAACTCGTGAGGGTTTGGCGATGATAGTGGAAAGGGCTTTTTCTAATTCTATTTTAGAGTGTGATTCGCTCAAGATCACGACTGCTTTGCAGGGGTTATGATCTTCTAAAATGTCTTTTATTGGACCTATCATTGAGGATGCCAAAGTTTTCATGTCGAGGATCACTAAAGTTACTATTGCCCAAGTTCATCGTCAGGCTAATGATTTGGCCCGCTGCCTCGCAAAATTTGCTCTGCATGATTCAATCTCTCGGTCTTGGTTCGAGGAACCTCCAGACCTTCTGGGTGATCATTGTGTAGTTCATTGATAGGGTTGAGTTGTGGGTTGTGGGGGTGCTCCTTCCGTTTGTGTTATCAACATATTAGGCTTGAAAATCCCCACACGTGAGGGGCAGTATTGATAATGAATCACATATTGATGGAAAAGTAACATTTTATGAGCTTATAAGTAAATTGAATTATTCCTCATATTGTCAATCAATCTAATGGTGGAACCTCAACTTTCTTTAGGATTCACTCTCAACAAACTAGTAGGTGATTAAATTTGAGATAATATCGGTGGTCAACTATTTCGTTTCGTTTCAACTGGGAATAATGAGCCCGACCTTGACCATTCCGTTCATAAACATGAAGACTATTCCGTAGCCCACTTTTGGAAGAAAACAAAACCAAAAGAAGAGAAGAAAAAAGTTTAAAAAACGTGAATGCACATTGGAAGTTACGTGAATTTGATGCATCACTCGACATATATGGGTGGCATGTACATGATAATAAGATATTGAGTAGTGTAGTGGTGTTGAGCTGAGTATTTTCTGAAATAGAAATCTCACAGGTGCCTCTGCAGGCTGTAGTTTGGGATTTTTTAATGTAGCCGGAACACAGATGAAACATTACATGTTATTATATAATTTGAGGAATTTTTTTTAAATGTCCCTTTTAATTATATAGTAATATGTGATATTCCGTCCCATATTCTGAACACACTAAAAAAATCTCTCGTAACTTGGGCGTAGGGTTTGTTTAATAACCATTGGCTAAGCTCGATAAAGGCATGCGTGCGAAAGCCAACCTCGGTTGGTGGATGCTAAATATAGTCCTTCACGTGTGAGTCAGTCACTTGGTATTTGAAACATGCCACAGAAGTTTAACGCCTTCAAAGAATTTCTCACCAGTATCTTATCAACGTTTGTGAATATATATATATATATATGCTCTTAAATCCAGGCCAACATGTGTGCTGGAGCTACGATGTAAACAACTGAAATCATTCAATTGTTTTCAAAAATCGAATTAATTAGCATTTAGCTTAATATTTTTAGGTTTTTGATCCAGACAAGTGTTAGAGAATTGAACTAAATTATGTAGACAGTGCTTAATGTAAACATGTACGACATATGCAGGATGAAGCTTACACACTACTTAATTAAAAGGTTTGTACATGTAGGTGCCCCTGTATTTGGCAGTCCCAACTACCAAATAGTTCAAATTGTTTAGAAGCAATAGCTTACAATTTTATCTGGATTGGCATGGATTTCAACTCTCAACTTGCCTGATTTGGAAGTCTCTTCGAAAAGAATAAACTAAACCAACCTTTGGTCCGACACGTGGAGATCTTACCCACAATATTTGACCTGTAAATTTACCAGATCTCAGAAACTGAGCATGTATGTGCAGTCCATAAAAAAGAAAACATATACAAAAGGATCACCTGTAACAACCCTTACCACAAAATATGCGTCAAATTTTGAAGAGATTGATAGCGGAACATTAATAATGAAGAAATAAAGAAACGTACAAATAGAGTTTTTGAGGAAATAATGAGTTCATCACGTTTATTGACATTATCATCATCAATATTTACAAATTAAAATAAAATAAAAGAGAAACATGTAAAATAACCTTTTTTGAAGTGTTACAATCAATGTTTTAAAGGCGTTAGGTGCTTATCGGAGGTGGGTTGGAGCCTAGTGCCAACCATATAAATAAGTGTCAAATTATAATATATAATTGTATTGGAAAACATAAACTATAACAGATACGTAAATTATAAAAGACTAGAACATATTGAGAACATGGGAAACAAGCACATAATGTGTTCATTCAAGTATCCAACAAGTCTCTTACAATGTATTAAACACATAAATGCAAAATGAAAGTTATCTATTTTCTATTTGAGATAAAGAGTTTGGACCCTAAATATCTTAATAAAAATAAAGCAAAATAAATCATAAATCTGCCAACCCGCTTAAACCCACCTAGGCTCACCTAGTCAGGCTAGGCAGGTGCGTAGATTTGTCAGGGCACTCTTTCTTATTTTTTAAATGTATAGAAATCAATCGGGACTGTGTCAGTCGCCTGGTACCTAGGCAGGCCCTAGACAGCCAGGCGAGGACTTTTAGAACACTGACTACAATTCTACTTAGATATACAAGAAGCCTTTAAGGGAAGGGATCTCCATTTTTTTATATACAAATGGGAAATAGTTGTGGGGCCTGCACCACATTGAACTTTAACGATCCCGACCCTCCATTTTTCAAGTTGCACCTCATAGACCATCCCTGCAAACTATTAACCAAATCGAAAATATTTGAGGCATCTAATTGAGTACAAAGAAATTGACAAATACTTTATTATCTAAGAAACATTAAAATTTCATAGTGATAATTAAATAGGCAAATGGTTTTGGATTAAATTAAATTTTGCAAGGATAATCTACAAATCGAGACTTACAAAATAAACGGCTTGAATCGTTGAAGTTCGACGTGGAGGTAGGCATGTGTGTGTGCGCGCGCGCATGTGTCAATTACTCTAGCTGTATTAACACTCAAAGTAAATATCAAATTATATGATGACCAATTTATGTGACGATGCCTTGCAATCATCCTAGTGTGATGGTACCCTGAACTGATCAATTTTTATTTTATACAATAATATATTTACATAAGGGGATGAGGTATGTATGTAGGCCATGTCATAGTAATTAACCATAATAATTTGGTATTAGCTCGCCATCTACTGAGTTTAGAGCTAAGAATTCTCACTTACAAGTAAAAAAAGAATATCACTCAACTATAGTTCTAAGTGGCACCCTAAAACCTAAAAAGAACATTAGATCGGTGTAAAGAAAACCGCATAAAAACAAAAATTAAGGGCCAAGTTAGGATTGTTGTGCTTTTAAAAAAAAAAAAAGTTTTTGTTGTGATTTAAGAATAATCAGATGTAAAATAAAGTAGTTGAGTGTTTGATAAATTTTATTTTTAAAAGCGTTGTGAGTATAAAACCGCTCGGTAAATTTTAATATAATTGTATATAATGCCAAACAATAGACATGGTAGTAAGGATGGTGGCGGTGATGGCAGTAGTGGTGGTGGGGTATGGTGGTGGTGTCAATAACAGAGTGTGGTGATTGAGGTGTAGAGGTAGCATTGATCACAGCAGTAAGGGTTGCGATTGTGGTGGTGGTGAAGCCAATAACAATGTGTGGTGGTTAATGTGTATTGGTAGTAGTGGTGGGGATTGTGGTGTTGCGCTGACGTCGGATATGGTTGTGGCAACGATAGCGTAAGGCTAGTGGTTGTAGTTATGGGTGGTGTTGATGATGGTAGTGGCGATGATGGTGGTGGTGGTAAGGGAAGTGATGGTGCAACGGCAACATTGAGGGTATGTTGGTGGCGCCAATAGTGGGGTTTGTTGGTTGAGGTGCAAAGGTAACAATAGTCGTAAGGCGGCTGCAGCAGTGGTGGTGACATGGTTGTGGTGGTAGTTCTGGTGTTGGTAGTAGTGGCAATGATGGTGGTGGTAGTGGCGATGGGGAGGCTAGAGTTGCGGTGGTGGTGGTGGTAATGGCAGTGGGTAGTGTAAGGCTATGTGGTTGTAATGGTAGATGATGGTGGTCACTTTGTTTTCCAAGGGAGAAAATGTACGTAAGAAAAAATATAACATCATTTTAATGCTAATGAGAGTATTACTTGCAAATCACTTTATAGGCTCAACTCCGCTTTTTATAAATAAATAATAAAAAAAAGCTTTTAAAACTAACCTATATAAGATGCTTTTTTAAAAAGTTGATGTTTGAATGTCATTGATTTTAAAATAAACAGTAAATTTTATTTCTACCAAGCATTTTGTTACTTCTTTTCTTTTTTTCTTTTTTTTTTCTTTTTTTTGGAGAAAAAATATTTTTTTATTAGTTTAACTTTAAACAGTTTTTGGTGAAATAAAAATACCAAACAGGCCTAAATTCACCCACAAATTGCAATAGAAAACTAAGCAGGCATGATATTTTATTCACACGTGTCGCTGACTTATTAGGCCAATGGCGCCATTAAAATAGTCAAAGATAGATGTGTAGTTTCTATATATAGCCTATCCATAAGTTATATATTACATAATCTGTTAATTTGTATTTCAATACACAGGTTAATTACAAACCAGTAAGACAATTTAATAGTAAAATCCAAACTCGTTCCCCATTAAAAAAAAAAAAAGAAAAAAGAAAAAAACAAGGAATGTTTTTTAACCACTTTTGGCCTATATAAGCTCTAATAAATGGGCAAAATGTATCAAAATAGTTTCTTACAGGCGGCAGGTTGATCAATACCGTCCGTGTTCTTATTGGCTAGCTACTCTTTTCTTCTTAATCTTCTTAACCCTTACGCTAACATTAATATTGATCTTATTCAATTGCAGAAACCTTAAAACAAAAAGAGCATAAGGGGGCTGATATGGGGAGGGGGAAGATTGTGATTCGGAGGATCGATAATTCGACGAGCAGGCAAGTGACTTTCTCAAAGCGTAGGAAGGGTTTAATTAAGAAGGCAAAAGAGCTGGCGATTTTGTGCGATGCAGAAGTTGGACTTGTGATCTTCTCAAGCACCGGAAAGCTTTATGAATTTGCAAGCAACAGGTTTGAAACCAAAAAAAAGTATCAATATTCTTTTTTTCTATACATTTTGGATCCCTTAGTTCTTGTATCTCTGGGTTAATCAGTGTTATATATAGTTTGCATGGCTCAGTTGTTGTGCTACATGTATGTTGTTGCATTTAAATAGCATTTTTATGATTTTTTTTTATTAATTCAAACAATTAATTAGCTATATATTCTCTTAGGACCACTTTGAAAGAAGAGATTCAAATCTGGAAATACAAAAATAATATCGGTGCTGACCTAGAGATTTATATTACAATGCAAGCTTAAGCAGATATAGCTAGAGGCTCATCACAGTGTAAATATCTATATATTTTTGGGGAATTTTTCAATGTATAAGCTGTTACTTTGAAGATCATCATGAGCTGCTTGGAGTTAAAGGTATTTAAAAAAAGGATAGAAGTAGGTTGAACCAAGTCAAAGGTATGATAATTAAGGGTACTCCAAAATAATTATTAAAGCTGAGGTTAATTTAGTGCAACAAATATTACCATATATCTAAATTTGAACACAAAACACTAGCTAAAACATGCATGAAGGGGCACATGAGATGATGATCAATGCGGATCTATGTGAGGGAGGAGTTGCATGCCCAAGAATGAAAGCAAATTATCTGGTAAAATAACTCGTCTACATTGGTGATATGCTACGCAAAATTGAAAGTGATATGATAAGAAATTATATCTATGTTAATTAAAAGCCAGGAAGATACTCGAAAGAACAATATCGACCTTGAATTTACATAATATATGAAAAAGACATTATGCCATGACAACCTCTATTAGTTAAATGAGTTAGATACAAAAAAAGAATACATTCTCGGAGTTATTCCTAGTTAATGTGACCGTAACACATCCATGTCTTGTTATCAATCACCTATTTTTTATCTTACAGTATAAATCCATTTTGGTCTAACCCAACCCTAAGGCAATCTAAACCAAACAAAAATGTATTTTGCTTGTCAAAGTATAGAAATCGCTATATTCAAAAGTTAGGGCAAGTTACAATTTCGAAATCGCTTTGTTAAAAGCACATAATTAAGTGTTAGGGAGGGTAATTAGTTACATTTTAGGGTCAATCACAATTTGCAATCTTAATAGTTTGACACCTATCTTTAATACATTGACAAGTACAGCCTTAAAGTTACCATTAGCATTTTATCCGTCTAACTACAAATTAACCACTACTTTTTGACAAACTTCATATATCTCTTTTTGGCTTATATGGGCGTCACATGAGCCCTTTCCCAACTCTTTCTACCTCTAGAAGGTTAGGGTTTTCTTTTCATTTAGTAAGTTCTTATATGTTGGTCATATGACATCCAAGTGATCGATCATATTGTGACTTTAGGTCTGTTTTTGTCAACAGCAATGCCAAATGTAGTTGACCTTCAATTTAATTAAAACTCTAAGAGTCTGTTTGATAATTATTTTATTTTTTGTTCTTAATTCTTATTTTTTGTGCTTGAGATACAAAAAAAAATTATATGGTAAAAAGGAGGAATGAGGAAAGATGGTTAGAGGGAGGGAACAAAATGAAAACAAAATCTTGAAAGTGAAAACAACTTCAAATGATTTTAGATTTTCATTTTGTCTCTTTTCTAGTACATTTCTTCTACATCTCTCATCCTCATTCTTCTCTTTTTTCCCCATTTCTGCCATGCATATCTCAATTATCTCTAACACAAAAGTGAAAATTAAAAACTAAAAATGAGCTGATTTTCAAACAATCCCTGAATTTATATACATCTTGTCAATGTCCTTGGAAGCGCTTTCTGAGAAAACAACCTATAACAAAGAGAACACTTTTAGTTAATTCTACCAAACCAAATGGAAAACTAATTTAATTAATTATGTGAAATGTTTTCGCTTCTCAAAACATTTTAAAACGAACCGGCCTGAAACTATTGTGGATCACATTTAGTAATGAGCAAAAATAATAGCTTGTTTGATAATTATTTATTTTGAGTTTTGAGTTTTCATTTTTTATGCTTGAGATAGAGGAAATATAGGGGAGAAATGAAGGACATGCATTGTGGAGGAATGATGATTGGAGAAAAGTAGAAGAAATATTTACAAGAAATATCCATGAAATAAAAACTATGTACAACAAAAATACTATTTTAAGTTGTTTTCTTCTAAGATTTTGTTTTATTTCATTATTCTTGATTTCATCTCCTTCCTCCTACCACCCCATACTTCCCCTACACCTTCTTTATATCTAAGGCACAAAAAGTGAAAATTAAAAACTAAAAAGTTATCAAACAGATCTAATTAAGATGTTGGCCCTGAAAAGGGAAAACACGGAAAATGAAAACTTGGGATTCATAGTAACCAATTTCGTTACAACTGGATACCTACAGGTAGGGTTTCCAAATAGATCAAAAGACTAGAACTACATGTGGTTCTGTGGATAATCCTCTACTTCTTAATTGCCAACATTCATATCCGTTAATATCTGTTACCCTGAACCATATATATATATATATATATCTAATGTAGTGATATAGAAATCAATGTCAATGTTCAGTTTTCCATTTTAAGGTCCTCGTCATGAATCACCCTGATCACTGTGTTATGTCCTTATTTCCACCAGCTTGAATTCAGTGATAGAGAGATACAACAGATCAAAGGAGGGACATCAGCAACTTCGTAACCCAGCTTCAGAAGTGAAGGTCTTCTCCATCTGCCTTTTGCTAATTTTTCTCTGCATTAACCATATATTCCAGCATATCATATGAAATGTTAATTACATTGGAGTTTATTAATAGTAATGCTAATTTTTCTCTGCATTAACAATATACTCCAAGAGTTGGATTTCGTCTTCTTTCTTCCCACGCTATTTGAGTTTAAAATAGATATCAGGGTTCATGAAGGCATGATGGTAGGATACACATGGATTTCATGACTAAACTCTTTACATAGAAACCCGAAACCCTAAAATATGTTTACATCTGTGTATCTGCTTCAACCTAAGTGCAATGCACAATAAACCATTTCATGTCGTTTACAAGTATTTAACCAAACTAATTCGTCTTTTTCTTACACCGTCTAGGCATAAAACTTATACCTAGGCATTCAGTTACTCATACGTACTCAAGTAATTGTTAGGTTTTGGAATAAAAGTTTCCAACTCCAGACAGCTGCTTGTAACATTGCTACAAATTAAGAACAAAAAATTGTTACAATAATATTCTGTGGTCCTGCTTTGTCAAGTCAAACGAACTATTCTTTAATGGAGTTATGCATGCTTAGTCATAATTTCTGAAGGCTACCAGTTCTAGTCATAAGAAAAGATTGCTTCACACAACCATCAGACAAAACTAAACATGCATACGACTTCCTTGGCACTGATCAAGCATGTTAATTAGTTACATATGTGTGTGTGTGTGTGTGTGTGTGTGTGTGTGTGTGTGTGTGTGTGTGTGTGTGTAGTAACTTGTGTTTCCTAACTCACATATATAGAAACACAAGATATTTTTGAGTTTGGTGAGAACTGTACAAAGAATAAGTTTAAATTACTCTTCCATCTTTTATTATATAAACATATATAGGATGTTTTTCAGCTTCCAAGGATGAGAACTGTACATGTTATCTTCCAAACAAATTATAAGTTCTGATGTTGGAATGATGAACTTGCGTAACTCCATTATAAGATAGTTCGTTTGTCTTGACTTAGAAGTACTTCTAGAATATGTATGTTGAACTAAACCAAACTGTATACAAATTGCAAGAAACTACTTTTCTTTGATAAACCAAAGTTTATAATGTACTTAAATAATCACAAGTTTCTGACATATTGTCAAAGGGACTTTATCTGATGCACTTCTCAAATGATGCATGCATTTTACTGTTTTGTTATTGTGTACTTGCTAGTTTTGGCAAAGGGAGGTAGCCAGCTTAAGGCAAGAACTACAGAACTTGAGAGAGAATCATCGGTACGATCTTTCTCCTTCAGTTAGTTAGAATTCAACAATTTTTTTTGAAATTGCACACAAGCACACACAAATAACGATGGCTGCACCTAATGTTATCATCTCATGGATAATACTGTCATAAAATGCTTCATATACAGAATTCTTACAATGTCCTAATTTAATATCTAATTATTTAGGGTTTAGCTAGGGTGGATGTGAGCCACTTAAAAACAATGTATACTATACATTGATTTGTGGTAGGACTCCAAACACTGCTCATCGACTTATCGTCCCGCATTGTGATATGACAGGCAATTCATGGGAGAACAACTTTGTGGTTTAAGTGTCAAAGAACTAAAGGGTCTAGAAAGTCAGTTAGAAATGAGTCTGCAAGAAATTCGAATGAAAAAGGTTCGCTGAAATTAATGCGTTTATTTATGTATTATCTTATTTCCTGGTGTCATTGTTTTCATTTAGTAGAAGTTTGACAAATATCATTCATCTAAACTCTTGCAGGAACAAATATTGACCGATGAAATAGAAGACCTAAATCAAAAGGTCTTTCCAAAAATACATAATTAATCAATCGTTATTTTGTCTTACACATGACTACGTACTAAGAGTTAGTTCACTCAGCATACGTTTTTCGTCTTCTTTGTTCCATGCAGGGTAATATCATCCATCTGCAAAATATGGAACTGTACAAGAAGGTAAAGTTCATTTGTCAAGAAAAAAATCCTTAAGAAAATAAATCAATCATAATCCACCTTACCTTATTTGGCAACGTAAAGTAAACACTAGCAACAATAAACTTTATGTAACAGGTTTATGGCACAAGTGCCGTGAATTCAGAAAGTAGAAATGTCTGCATTCCCAATGCCATGTGGACAGGTGAGGAGTCACATGTACCATTCCACCTTCAACTAAACTAGCCCAACCAACAAATGTAACAGACGTCAACAACAACAAGCAATTTGATGGTAAATTTTATTCACATTCTTTTATCAAAAAAAAAATTAATAATTAATGTTCCAAAACATACTCATCTCAACTTTCATCTGAATTGTACTTGTTATAATGCAGAAGTCTACACTCCAAGGAAGTGCGCTGTTTCTCTAAACAAGTACACTGCTACAAGCATCCAAAATGTAAAACTTAGTTTTTGCAAACTTCTTTTTGGGGCCCTGGAGTGTTGGGCATGTCCTTTTCTCGGCCTGGTGGGCTTTCTTTGTGTTAGTTTTTGCACACTTTCTTTGTGCGATACACAAAGAAAATAAACTTTTTATGTTGTGTGCTTGGAAATGTTTGATTAGTACCATAAAGCATGACCTAAACATGCTTTTTTATTTAATTATCACAGATATTTGTTGAATTTGTCATCACATATCAATTTCATTCTTACCATCCTCGTCTTAATCCTGGGTTCTTCTCTCTATTCCTCCCTCCTTCTATTTATCCCATAATTTTCTTTCCATTGATTGAATCTGATTATGGTTCTCTCAAATTTTCAATTGATTATAAAATTCTCTCTTTTAATTAAAAATGGGGTTTATCATTTTTTGCATATCTGAAATTAAAGAGAGAGATAAAATTTCCCCTCATGATATCTTCATAAAAATTTCTCCACCAATTCGGATTCGAATTTGCCGTTGATTTCTTCAAGGGACAAGTTCCACTCGGTGTCCGTTTTAGCTTGGACAATACCACCTTTTCAAACACGACGCTGGGAAGGATAATTAGAGATATTTGATGCTACTGTTTGCCCTGCACAAATAATTAACCGAATACTAAACAGAATATATATATGCAACGTTGAACTGTTATTATTCTGGATTACGCACCATGAAAGAAAAATGGGAAAATATGATCTCCCGTGTATTGATTTGTAGGTCGCTACGATTTCAAAATGCATTCAAGAGTTATTGCAAAATTCCCACACTTTGTAAACCTAAAATTATAAATTGATAAAGCATACGAAGAAACGAAGAGAGCGAGAGAGAGTCAGAAATCTCGTGTGGAAGTGCCGCTCATAGAAACCAATATTGGTACTGCGTTTGCACATTGAATTTCATCATCCCCTCACAAATAACCACCCAAAACAAAATCATCAAATTTCATACACAAACCAAGAAATTGAAAGAAAAAAATGCTTTCTTTGGATCCCAACTAACATGCGGAGGAGGAGGCGGAAGCTTGTGGTTTTATAGACAACAGCCGCTCAATTCATGGCGTAACCCTAGCATCCCCAAAACACCGTCGTTTTGGAAAGAGTACCCGACCAGGCCCAACTTGGCCCAGATGGATATACATAACCAAACTATCGTTTCTGGGTTTAAAATAAATAAGTAAACCTTTTGGGGTCGAAAAGTAAATACGAAAAAGATATTGGTCAGAATTCACTCAGTCTGCAGACTGCAGCACAACTCTGCACAAGTGTTGATTTCCGTTGGCGCTTTCGTCTCTCTTCGTTTCTGCCTCTCGAGCCCCCTCTCTCTGTTCGCGCTGAGATATCTCTCTCTCATCGACTAAATGTTTCGGTTTCTCTCTCGTTATTGTTAGTAGGTTTTGATTCATCTTCTATGATTTGAGTTACCATTTTTTTGGCGAATTCTGACGACTTTACGATCCGGGTTTAAATTTTTGCATTAGGATTCTCTACCTTCCTAATCTTTCTATCCTTCCATCTTTTTCTATTTGAACGGTCACAGTTAAGTCACATTAATATTGTATATTGATTTTTTCATAAAGATAACAAAAAGTAATGTGTGAAAAGAGGGGAGGGAATGAGATAAGAATAAGAGGGTTGAGAATCCTACTCCTTAAATATTTCAGTTAAAAAAATTGAATTCAAGTTTGATACCAAACAAATGTCAAATAAGAGAACTACAATCCTAAGGAAAACCTAAAACAATAAAATATGCATCTGGAAATTACATTAATAGTAGAAGAAGAGGAGTAAAACCATTGAGTTGCAGATAGAAGAAGAATAAAAGAAGAAGAGATGCAAGGAGCATTAATTCACGACCGAAGGCGAAGAGTTGGCAGAAACCGGATTGATTTTTGCTTGGTCATATTCAATAGTGCCAAAGCATGTGGGGTGTAAGGCTTTGAAATGCTTTGAGTCTTTAAGTTATACACACCATAATCTTCACGATTCCAATATACATATTGCCAAGTTGAAGTATATGCAATCTGGCTAACATCCTGGTAACTTTGAGGTCAAAACAGATACCGAATCGTTAGCCCCTACGAAGAGAGCAACATCAACCAAACTTATCATCTCAATCCACTTACTTTCTTCAAAGTTCCATCTAAAAATTTCAAAATTTTGTATCACAAAGTTGGGGTATCGCCGTCCGTTCCCTTTTCTTTCCATCTTGAAGCACCTTTACACCATTAAAACTTGTTTTTTGTTCAGGTCCACGAGATATCTCTCACGAACTATACATTGTTCAATAATTTTCCCATCTAGGTTAAGTCTATCAGACGTATCGATGCAGTAAACTTCATCTCCAAAATGAACGACATCGTCAATGAAGTGCCACGTCCTATGATCGTGATACGTCCGAGTTTTGTCTTTAGCAAGTCTAAGACCATCTTCAATGATTGGGCTAAAAACCAAATATTTTAACCCGAAAAATTTAGCTTTTAGCCCAGAAACAACTTTTTTGCTCCAACCGTTCTAGCCAAAAATTTTAGCCCGGAATTATTAAAGAATGAATTTAGGCTTTTTTTTTGTTAAATTAAATTTAAAATATATATATATATATATATATAGACTATCGTAAATTAATTTTATGAACATTTTAATCTAAAAAAATTTAAATTCTGATAAATATTGGGTAGAGTCCACTCCGATTTCTAGGCTAAATTTTGAGGGGAATTTGGCCTTGGTTTAGCGTTTAGCATTTAGCCCAAATTTTCCCCTTGGGTGGGTTTGGAGGGAAGTTTGGGGGGCTAATTTGGCTTTTAGCCCACCATTGGAGTTAGTCTAATAGAAGCCAATCGATAACCATCCCCGAATATGACCTCAACAATACATTCATCTGCATTTAAAACTGGATCTGCTGAAATAATAGCTTTGAAAACATAACGGTCGTATCGTCGAGCCCAATACTCGGTGCGTCTAGGTAGAGGAGGCATCTATAAAGGAAGGCGAATGACTGAATTTTCAATCTCTTCACATCCTTGAATCCTTGCGAATGGATTCATTAAGGTCACCACGAAATTTCATCGACAGTTACAAGCCATCCTTTTGAAAACCCACAAAATCGTTTGTTTAGCAACCTTAATTGTAAATCATAAACCTTATCCTTCTCAACATTGTATATGTTCCATGTACCCTGTTTGCCATTGGCGTTGGCCGTCGAGGATTATCCTTTGTTACACTATTCCATGACATACAAACAAGACTGAATCTCAAAAGGTCATCCGATGCAAGTTTCTCCAACACTGAATCTAGAAGGTGGTTAGGCAAAATTTTCCAATCTGAAAAGGAAAAATCAAGGAAAAACTGAATAAGAAACATGACAGGAATTAAACAACTAAGAAAAACAAATTGATCGAGCAAATGCAGCATTAGTGATCGATGTACTACTCAGTCATCGTAACCATGCATAAACATGGAAATTAAACAACTAGCTTATGGTACCAAAGGTGTTAATTAAGGGGTTTCTCAAAAGTCCAATCATAAGTATATAGCTATTCAAATGCCTATTCCAGTTTCAAATTCTCACAATGTACAAGAAGAAGAATTTCAGTGTCATTTGCTACGAGTAATGCTGAAATACAATCTTCAACTCCAAGTCTTTCTATATCAGTTATGAATAATGATAGTGAGTCATAGTCAAGGGACTCAAGGGAGTCGGTTTTGGTTTCACAGCAATATCAAGATCCATATTCCCCTCATCATCACTCTGGTACATCATCACTGTTGCATGTCCACATAGATTTACAACTTCAGGTAATCTTGCCATTTTCATCACAAAATGACTCATCCATTAACATGGATCAATCCACTGATATAAATACTTCTGAGTCTGTCCACCAAATGGTAACAAGATTGAAAAATGGTGTTATTCAAAGACAAGATTATAGTGCATTTATAGCATCGTTTCCTGAGTTGCAATCTTTGCAGCTCACTGAAGAAGATTGCTTTAGTGGAGGCTATAGTTTTGTATCTGCCATTACTAATATCTCATAACCAACTACATTTAGGAAAGCTGCTTCACTACCACAATGGTAGCACGCAATGCAGGAAGAGTAGATTCTCTTCGAAGTCAAGGCACTTGGGTTCTAGTACCACCTCCAAGTGACAAATCCATTGTTGGTAGCAAATGGGTGTATAAAGTGAAGAAAAATCATGATGGCAGTGTTTCCAGGTATAAAGCAAGGCTTGTGGCTCAAGGATTTTCTCAGGAGCAAGGTATTGATTACTTGGACACCTTTAGTCCAATAGTAAGACATACTACTTGTGAGGGTTGCATTGGCTTTAGCAGCAGGTAACCATTGGAAACTTAGACAGCTTGACATTAAAAATGCATTCTTGCATGGTGACTTGCAAGAAGAGATTTACATGAAACAACCACAGAGGTTTGTTGATGCATCACATCCCACTCTTGTGTGCAAATTAATCAAATCACTATACAGATTGAAACAGGCTCCAAGGGCATGGAATTCGAAGTTCACATCTTACTTGAATGTTATGAATTTTCAGGCTTCAACCTCTGATACAAGTTTGTTTATCAAGAAAGATGATGGGGATATTGTTATTCTTCTACTTCATGTAGAAGATATCATATTGACAGGTTCAAACTCTATCAAGATCCAGAAGATGATTGATGAGTTATCTAAGGTCTTTGAACTTAAGGATATGGGACAGTTGACATATTTTCTGGGATTACTAATCTCTTATAAGAAGAATAGAGATATTTTTGTGAATCAATCAAAGTATATAAAAGATGTGATCCATAAGGTAGGAATGGACACATGTAAACCTGCAGCTACTCCACGCAAACCTCATGATCAAATGTTACTTTCTAAGGGTTCTTTAATGTCAGATCCATCACTTTATAGGAGTATTGTAGGATCATTGCAATATTTGACCTTTACTAGGCCCGATATTGCATATGTTGTTAATACAGTATGTCAGTTCATGAATTCTCCAACAGAAATGCATTATGCAGCAGTGAAATGAATACTAAGATATCTTCATGGTACACTGCACCATGGGATATTATATTTAGCTAATCAAATAAAGACAATTGCTGCATTTTCAAATGATGATTGGGCATCTGATCTCAACACTCAAAGGTCGATCATAGGCTATGTAGTGTATCTGGACCAACAATCCAGTGTCTTGGCAAGAAACAATGTTCAGTATCAAGAAGTTCAACAGAGGCTGAATATAAGGCTCTTACTCACACCACAGTTGATGTTGCTTGGTTAAAGGGAATACTAAAGGATTTAGAAGTGTTTCTACCTTCACCTCCCATAATTCATTATGATAATATGTCTGCCATTACTTTTACTGCAATCCAGTGTCTTGGCAATCAAAGAAACAATGTTCAGTATCAAGAAGTTCAACAGAGGCTGAATATAAGGCTTTTGCTCACACCACAGCTGATGTTGCTTAGATAAGGGGAATACTAAAGGATTTAGAAGTGTTTCTGCCTTCACCTCCCATAATTCATTGTGATAATATGTTTGTCATTGCTCTTACTGCAAATCTTGTGTTTCATTCTCGTATAAAACATCTAGATACCGATTTTCACTTTATGAGAGAACGTGTTCAACAAGGAGATCTGGAAGTGGTTTACATTCCAACTGAAGATCAAACTGCCGATGTTCTGACAAAAGGTCTTCACAATCCAGCGTTTCTTCGACATTGTTACAATCTTAGGCGGAGTACCTCAGCCACGATTGAGGGGGGATGTTGAGTGTCATAAATCAATGGTTAGATGGACTGCCAACTCATTACAATATTTAATAGATAATGGATTACCAAATCAGCCTTACAGTTAGTTAGTTAGTTAGTTAATTACATGAATAGCTTACTAGCTAATATTGGACTTGGTGTATAAATAGCTAAAAACACATATTGTAATTCAGTTAGAACATTTTCACAAATCAATACAGTT